TCCGGCGCCGTCTCGAGGAGCAGCTGCAAGGCGCTCTCTCCCTGCGCTGCTGGAGGGGCGGGGTCTGCAGGGCCTCCTGCACCCGTCGCCGCACCTCCTGGGGGAGGCGGGGTCTGCTGGGCCACCAGCACCCATCGCCGCGCCCCCTGCGCCCTCAGCGGCACCCTGGCCGAACTGGCCGTCGTCGTCGCCAGTCGACTCACCGTCGTCCTCCTGCCGCGGGCCATCCTCTGACTCTAGGCCCCAATCCTGCGCCCCCAAGTACTGCAATGGAGGCGGCATCTTGAACCTGATCTGCTTCCGCGCTCTCAACGGAGGACGTGGTAGTTCTGGCTCTGGCTCAGCGGCGGCCTCATTGAGCTGGCGCAGCAAGCGCTGTCGAGACCTCTTGCTGGTCGGATCCGCTTGCTTCTTGGGTCTCGGTGGGCATTGAGAGCTCTGAGGCATACTGAGTACCCATCTCTGAGCCTTCTCTAACCTCAGCTGCAACTTCGTCAAGATGCCGAAGTGCGACTTACCTGCTCCAAAGCATGCTTCATCATCCACCGTCATGGAGCAGACGAAACGAACCATCGAGCGTGACAGAACTGCGAAATCAATCATCCTCTTTTGGCCAGCCGTGCATGTGTATTCTGCACCCGAGGGGGCACGAATCAATCCGTCCACCAGCGATGGCCATCCTGACTTCTGCAGCTCGACCGGGGTCGCGTTGAAGTCCCCAATGACCAGCCAAGGCGTCTTGATAGACTGCAACAGCGTACCTAACTGGATCAGCTTTGACACGTTCAAGCCTGCGATGCCCACATCCGCAGTCAAGTAGATGCCGAAGACAGAAATAGACTGGCCACCAATCTTGAGCTGACATCCTACAACGTCTCTGAAATCAATCCCCGACACGGTGGTGTCTGGCACCTGGATTTGTCGGAGCCCTATCTGCATATGCCTGTCGGTCGCAAGGTGGCGAAAACTCTGAAACTGAAATCTCTTCTTGACTCCCATCGAGATCCCACCAGCCTTGGCCGTCGCCTTCAGCTGGTAGGGTGGAGCCACCACTGGTTGGTACCCTCTAAAGCTCCAATCATGGAGCACCTCTGTACACATATCTGGGAGAACGTGCAACTCGGGCAGAATGACTATGTCGTACAAGCCCTCAGCAAGAAGGCATTTGGACGAGTGCCCCCAGCCCGAGAGGTTGCTCATATACAGAGTCTGCGCGTCACCCGCACGGTGGCTCCCCCTCCGTCTTCTGCTCACGCAGGTTGCGGACGAGGGCATCCACCTCACCCTGCAAGCGGTCAGACGAGGCCGGCCTTGAGCGATTGCTCATCCCCAGGAGCTGGCGCTGCGCGAGGGGCGGGGTCTGCTGCCGAGCCACGGACAGCACCCGTCGCCGCTCCTCGCGCAGGCGCCTCAGGGGCTGCGTCGGCACCTCCTCGGGGCGCGCTGGACGCTGCTCCCTGGCTCGCTGGTTCGGCCGCAGCCTGAGCCTCACCCAGGTTGCCTTTCCTCTTCTTGCGGGCTCTCTCGAGGACAGCAGAGACCTTGGCCTTCTGATCCTGCAACTTCTCATTGGTTTGACCATGCGTGTCTTGCACCGCTATACGCAACCAGACCTGGAGCTCACCCTTCGTCTTCTCCAAGATGTCATGGTCCGATTGCGTGAGGCCCAACCCGTCCAGGTCGATTCCCAGACTGATATCCAGCTCCAGGTTGCCGTGGAGCACCTCTTGGCTGTCCAGGACAGCACCCCGCGGCACGGGCAGTTCCTCAGGTGGCAAGAATTCTTTAGCCTTCGCGATCTCTTCGCGTTCAGCTTCCATAACCTCAGTCGTGCATGCACGATGCTTCTCCGTGCACCGCTCCAACTCCTGCTTGGCTCTCTTCCACTGCTCTTTGGCCGCCTCCATGGCCTTGCGTCCTCGCTGCAAGCGGGCCGCCGCCATCTGGAGGGCCTGCCCTGGCGGCCGTGGCTTGGTCTCGGGGGGAGGACCTCGCAGGGTGGCCACCAAGGAGTCGACAGCACGCTTGGTGTCCTCCCCCCCTCCCAGTTTGGCCGCCAAGGCACAGAGCTCCTGCACAACGTCACCACCAGCAGGAGTAGCACCCCCCTGACGGCCCTGGCCAGGCCCACGCGACTTCTGGAACTTTGCGCCACACTCGCACGTCCAGTTCTTCGCCTTGAGCCTGTCCTGGAAGAGCCACCGACCACACGAGGAACACTCAACTTGGGCACGGTACTGGCGTTTCCCCCAAGTGTTCGCTCCCCACGACTGCGGCGGCGGCATAGATCCAGGCAGTGGAGGATAGACGCGCGGATTCCACCATTCTCCGTAACGTGAGGCAGGCTGCTGCCCCCATGGCGGTCGCCGAGAGCCATCTGGCGCCCTCGACAACCGTCCGTGTTCGTGAACTCGATGCTGTGTCGCCTGGGGGCTCACACAGCGGTGCGCTGAAACCCTTGGGAACTAGCCGCGGACTAGCGGTATCCACTCGTTTCTCAAGGAAACTCAATACCTTGAGCCAAAATGGCTACGGAGACGGCCCAAAAAGTTCCCAAAGCGGACCAGGAGGGCCCCAAGACGTTCCCAGAAGGAGCTCAAAAGAGGTAACACGAACCGAAAATCCGAGCTTTCCGCCCCAGAGGCCCCCTAGGAGACCCCAAGAGGCTCCCGGGAGGCCCCACGAGGCCCCTCAAAGGCACCAGAGGGCCTCCAAGAGGAGCGAACAAAGCCCCACGACACCTTGAAACGGCCATCAAGAGGCGTCTAAACTGTGTCCAAGAGGCTCTCGAGAAGCCGCCCACGAGATCCCAACGAATATCCAGTAGCCTTCATACCCCCAACCCAAACACGGTGGCGGGATGGGCCGGGCCGAAGGCTATTCGATCCGCCGCCCCCTGTGCTTGTCACAAGTGTGCCTGGCGTGCTAGACTCTAGCTACCGTGTTTGGTTTTGGTTGTTCTCCGCAAGAACTCCCCCTGGGGCTCCGGCCCAGCCGGCCAGCCACTTGGAAGGGCGCACCAGGCCCTGAAATGACCTCAACGTCCACAAATGAAAATTTCTGATCAATGCCTTTCCCGCTCCAAGACGGCGCTAGACGGCCTCCAAGACGGCTCAGATGGCCCGAGATGGCCTCCAAGTTTGCCCAATATGGTCCAAGATGGCCTCCACGGTGGCCCAGGAGGGTCCAAGATGCCCCCAACTCGGCCCAAGAAGCCTCCAAGACGGCCCAAGGGGCCCCCAAGAGGCCTCCAAGGCAGCCCAAGAGGTCTCCCTGAGATTGGCGAGCACGGCCCGAGGAGGCCTCAATAAGTTTCCTTGGGTTTGTGAAGGTTCTTCTGCTTGTCCTTGTTTTCTGCTTTCCGACGGCCCAAGATGACCCCAGCGACTCCAAGATCGTCTCAAGATGGCCCTTACGGCCTCCAAGGCGCCCCCTTCACGGCCCCAGAGGTCCTCAAGACGATCCAAAAAGGGCTCTAAGACGGCCCAAGAGGCCTCCAAGACACCCATGATGGCCTCCAAGATGGGCCTTGAGCACCCCAAGAGGTCCCCAAGCCGGCCCAGAGAGGCCTCCAAAACGGCCTCCGACGGCGTCAAACGGGCCAGGAATGCCCTAAGACGGCCAAAGAGGCCCCCAAGTTGCCTCCAAGAGGCTCCCAGGAAGCTCCCAGGAGGCCCCAAGAGTGCTCCCAGAGGCTCCCAAGATGCTCTTCCCTCCTCCTCCCCCCGATGTTTCCGCCATCCTCCCCCAAGTGTTCCCCGAAGGGTTTCTACCACGGCTGGGAAACACATGGCCCGATAGCTTGGCAGAGCTCTTGCCACAACGCTCGGCCACGTGGGCGATTCCAAAAGGCAGGGGGCGGCGGTGATTTGCCGAAGGCATCTTCGATGAACAAGATGGGGGGCCACATGCGAACCCTACCTCTACCCCCCACGATTTCTGAGGGGAAGGTGGGGTTCACTTCACTCGGGGAGCTCCCGAACGAAGTGAACCCCACCCTCCCCCTCAGAAATCGTGGGTGGTAGGGGTAGAAACATGTATAACCATAATAGTCTCGGATTTCCTCGCGGATTTGTTTAATCGGCGCGCGAGCACGCCAGGGGTGGCCCCGGAGGCGCCCCGGGGGGGGGGGGGGGACCAGAGCCGGCCCAGGAACCTGCGCTGGTGTCCAAAGCCTTCTGCTTGTGACGTGTGTGTCGTCTTCAAGTTATGCGTGCGCGTTGGTGCGAATAGCTTATCTTGAAAAATATTTAGATGTGCACAGATGTGCATGCATGTGTAAATGAATGTGTGCTAGACTAGCTTGTTCATGCATGTATGATTTCACGTATGCGTGCATACTTGCCTAAGTACACGCGTGCCTGCTTACTGACTACCTACCCGACCACCCAAACCCAACCCGAAGACCCGAATTTCGGGTTGGGGGTGGTATGGGTTCCATGTTGTTTGTTCGATGTTCCTGGACCCCCCCTCCACAAATGTAGGGCAAATTGAGGCCTTCGGGATGGGTTGGGGTGATTTGGTTGGTGGTGACTTACAACTATGCAATCGCGCATGCACACACACATGTGTAGTGTTAAGTCGGGCCTGTCCTCCTACAGGCGGATTTTGGACCAAAACTGAAAAAATACCACAAACATACCCCAACAATGGTCAAACATAATCGAGACATCGTCCCCAGACTATGTTTTGACTATGTTTGCATACTCCTCCTGTAGAGGGACAGGCGCGACTTAAGTGTAATGCGCGAATCCCTGAGACGTGGCCACCGTACACGGGTGCGCCTCCCCGCCGTCGTTGTCCTCCCCGCCGTCGTTGTCCTCCCCCTCCTCCTCCTCCTCCTTCTCCTCCTCCTCCTCCTCCTCCTCCTCATCGTCCTCCTCCTCCTCCTCCTCCTCCTCCTCGTCCTCGTGCCGAATTTCGCCATCGAGGTTCGAGCTGCACGCACGCGCGTGCGCGCGCGAGCTCGCCGGTCGGCCCGGTCGGACCCGCCGCGGGTCCTGCGGCTTCAGGAAGCAGATCTGCACCATGGCGCTCGGGCCGTCCTCCGTCCTCCGCGCGGCTCGGAGGGAGCACGGGGGGGGAGCAAGGACGGGGGGGGGGGGGCGAGGCAGCTCCCGGGAATTCCTCGCGAGAACGACGACCCCCTACAATTTTTTGGTCTGCGGGTCGAGAGCGAGCCTCTTCCGGTTAAAAGCTAGGCGGGCTACGCCAAGCTCTAACTGGGGAGACAGAGCACAGGAGGGCGGGGCCTCAGGCGGCCAGAGGGCGTGGGGTGCAGGCGGTGCCGGTGAGACGAACCCCTACAGTCAACCCGCAGAGTAAGAATGCGCGAGAAGGGTGCAAGGGCCTCGGAGAGCCATGTTGACGCTCTTCGAACGGAGCGCCAGCCCGCCCCAAAGGTACCCCAAGGGGCTGGCCAGCGAAAGTTGCCGGGGATGGACCGAAGGGGAAAGGATGCAAGGGCAAGCTAGGACAAGTTGCCTATCCTTACTCTGCGGGTTGACTGTACCACGCCCGACTTCATCAGGGGCCTTTCACAGCCAGACCAAGCCGGATGAGGCCTTGGATCGAGGCCGATCGTGCCGGGCCAAGCGGGACCAGGCGCACCCAGGCGGACTCGGGCGGGGGAGAAGGCCAGACCAGGCCACGGGTATACCAGGGCCGGTGCGGGATTTGACATTGAAGGGATTGCATCCTTGAGGATGGTTGGGCGCCGCTTAATTCGGCGATGGACAAACCTCCCTTTAGTAGACCTCCCCTTAGTGAAAACGGCCTGGGACCGAAACCGACAGACCTGGACTCGCAAAAATGACGGCCGCGACGCCCTCTCGCGAACCGAAAACGACCAATTCCTTCATCGACGTGTCAGGATAGGAGGTCTGTCCACCCCCGATTAATGGGGGGGCGATCAGAAGGGGGGGGAGAAGGGAGCACATCTCGGGGCCGAAGCGCCTCGTTTTGGACCCTGGAGGACCCGTGTAGAGGGAGCCCTAAAGGGCCCCATTTTCTGCAGCCCCTTCTGCTCGCCCATGATCGCCCCTCCATTCCGCAGCTCCCAAACTGTTGAAGGAGCCCTGGGACACACAAATAAATGCACACAAGTAAAACGATTCCCAGGCTTCTTCCGATATGTTTTGGGGCTTTTGTCTTCCCCCCCGACTTCCCATAGTTTCCTGGGGATCGACGATTCATTGTGTCTGTGTGTTTTTGTTCCCCCTCCTGAGAAGCGGCAAGTGATCTGCGCAGAGCAGCCCTGCGACGCTCTCGACTGCTCTGCGAGATCGCGCCGCGCGCGGGGAACCAGGGCCCCACAGAGCTGCCGAGGCCCGAGCGCTGAGGTTGCGGGCCTCTGGGGGAACAAAAAAAAAACATGAACATAAAAACTCAGAGGTCCGCGCGGATTTCTCGGATCGGCGCTGGACCCCCCCTCCCTGGCGCGCGGAGCGCGCCAAAGGCGGCGCCGGAGGCGCCGCCGGGGGGCCCCAGCGCCGATCCGAGAAATCCGCGCGGACCTTCGAGTTTCTATGTTTATGTCACTTTAGTCCCCCCAGTCTCCGAAATCCAGATGCGCGGGAAACTTCCCCAGGTGCGGCCAAGACTTCTGCCCATGCCCACTGCAGCCTGGAGTGTCGGGCTCCCTGCCCCAGAGGCCCGAGGCCAGATTTTTGTTTATCCATATCCACTTCGCCTCGGCCCTGCGGCGCCCCCTGTTAAGAAAGCCCAAGGCGCACCGGCTATGGATAGAACTGCTGCCCGCACCAGGGCCCCACCAGGCGAAGTCTGTCCGCTGGCCACACAGTGGCACTTGCCAAGACGCGGCCGCACGGAGCCCCGCCGGGCGCCGGAGCCCTGTGGCTTCGTGCTCCGCGGGGCGGTGCTCGGCACGTCTCAGCTCCCGCTGCTCAGCGCTGCGCTGCAACTCCCCCGTATCTGCTAACCCTCGTCCTCTACACCAGGGGGCCTCCCATGCATTGTAGCTGGTTCCTGCGAGTCGACGCTCGCCGACGCTAATCGACTCTAAATCTACGCTCTCCTCTCTCCTCTCTCCTCTCTCCTCTCTCCTCCTCCTCCTCCTCCTCCTCCTCCTCCTCCTCCTCCTCCTCCTCCTCCTCCTCTTCGTTCTCCTCCTCCGCGAGGACCGGAGGGCGCGAGGGCCGGGCTGCCGCGCCGCCCTCCGAGGCCCACCCCCCCGCCTTGTGGCGCGGCACGGGGGGGTGACCTCGGCCAGATTTTGACACGCCCTCCCAGACGTCTTCGATCCTCTGCTCGGGCTGGGCGGAAGGGGGCGGGATATAGAGGGGTACACGCGAACCCTACCCCTACCCCCGACGATTTCTGAGGGGGAGGGTGGGGTTCACTTCGTTCGGGAGCTCCTGAGCGAAGTGAACCCCACCCTGCCCCTCAGAAATCGTGGATGGTAGGGGTAGGGTTCGCATGTTGCCAGGGTAGGGTTCGCATGTGGCCCCCTAGAATAGGGGGGAGAATCAGCTCACGCAGCTGACTTTCCCGGCGTCCGGCGCCGGAGGCGACCATGTATCGAGGAATGGGCTCGGCGGCGGGGCCGAAACCAGCTGCATGCAGCAGATTTCGTAACCCCCCCTTTCCCCATCTTCCCCCCTTTCGTCCGGGGCCCGACCTGCGCGCGGAGCTCCTGTCTGAGAGACTCGAACTGGTGCGCAGGAAACCACCGCACTGGGGGGCACGCATTGTCTGGCAGCGGCGACGCATGCCTCGCACCACTTTGGACACCCGGAGTCTCTGGCAGAGCTGCGGTCCGGGGTAACTCCGGTGTGGGCACCCGGGGTACGAACCCGCAGCTGCCCCTGACTGCACCCAGCCCCCAGGATTCGGAGGGTGGACACCAGAATTCTCCAGGATAATTGCGGCCCTGGGTAACTCCAGCTCGGGCCCCCGAGGCGCGAATCTGCAGCTACGGGTGATTCGGAACTGCAGTATACACATACACATTGAGCTTGATGTTCTAGTAGTGATGACACTGACGTGTACATGTCTCAGTGTAGGAACAGGCCAGGGAGCCGCTGACACAGATCCTGGGCCCAGACTCGGCCCAACCAGGATGTGCGAAGCAACCAGCTGACGTCCCCGGGGCTCCTGCGTGCAATCGACCTTCTTCCGTCGTGCCCGCACTTCCATGGCGGATTGCAAGTCCGTTGATCTGGTACGCGGGCGCGGAGGGAAAGTGATCCCCCCAGAAGCCCGCCTGACTTCGCGACGGTGCGAGTCGATTTGCACATGGAAACGGGGCCCGTCGTCAGCCCACATGCCTTGATCTCCACATCCGACAATATGATTTTGTCCTATGCGCAGCCTGAAAGATCCCGACCCCTTCCCCAGGACCATTCCTTCACTCCGAATCAACGGTTGAAGGCCCCGCGGCCTGAAAACCAGCCCCAGGGGGCCGAAATCGAGACAGGAGACCCAGATCGACAGAATCAGATCCACGGAGAATCTCCGTCGATCTCCGGAGAATCTCCCAGATCTCAGATCTGGGATCCGTGCCTGCGCCTCCTCGATCCCGCACTGCGGCAGCACTGCCGTCGCCTGCGCGCAAGAGTGACCCTGGCAGGAGTAGGGGTCCACATGCGAACCCTACCCCTACCCCCCACGATTTTTGAGGGGGAGGGAGGGGTTCACTTCGCTCGGGAGCTCCCGAACGAAGTGAACCCCACCCTCCCTCTCAGAAATCGTGGGGGGTAGGGGTAGGGTTCGCATGTGGACCCCTAAGGAGGGACCTTCGGGGCGCGGCCTTCGGGGAGCGGCGCACGGGACGCCCCCGAGGCGCCCACCCGCGGCCGGCAACCGG